CTGGGTTGTATTTAACCCAGCATTTTTTAGAGTGTAGTATATAAAGACCAATAAACACCTAATGCCTAAATCTGAAAAAGTAAATGGAAACATACCTGTCATTCAGAATGTGAGCTCAGGATTGAAATGTTAGCTTAACTCTTTTACACCGTACGACTGAACTCTGAACAGTGTTTTCAGGTTCATGACAGAAGTTTGTGGTGCTTTGATGAAACCACTGTATTTCAGCCCTGCTGATGTTCTGTGAATTATAAGGGTTATGTAGCATTAAGTGCCTTTTTTTAATCATCTCCTTATTTGAAGCAGAAACAGGTGCTTTTTTAAAGTCTTAATATGTTTTACTTTTTAAAGAATGCACTTTTGAAATGTAAGCTGTTTTTGTCTTTGTGTGGATTTCTCCTGTAGCAAAATGTCATTTGTTTGTACTAATCATATGAATGTATATTTGCATGTTCATCAACTGGTTTTACTCACCACTATTTTTTCATTTTTTTCCCCCCCAGAACTTAAATTGTTAGTATTATACATACATTTTTATTGTTTTTAAATACATTAGATACCCCTGCTTAAATGCCTTTGTATTTTTTTCCAACAGAACAAGTTTAGTTTGTAAAATAGGACACCAAACCGCACAATTTGATAACATCATCATGAAAAGATATTTACCGTCCGTTTGTGTAATATGAATCAGAACAGATTTGCAGAAATGTAGCATTGCATCAGTGTCTCAGCAATGGATGCTCTGCAGTGAATGGGTGCCGTCAGAATGAGAGTCCAAACAGCTGATAAAAACATCACAATAATCCACAAGTAATCCACACCACTCCAGTCCATCAGTTAATGTCTTGAGAAGACAGAAGCTATATGTTTGTAAAAAGCAAATCCATTAAGATGTTTTCAACTTTGAACAGTCGTTTCTGGCTACAGTACGAGTCCATAATCCATAATAACGCTTCCTCCAGTGAAAAAGTCCATCTCCTTTTGTCTCTCACATCAAAATCCAGCCACATATTTGTTTAGAGCTGTTTAAACGCTGCTTGATCTGTGCAGATTTCTCTCCTGATTCAGACAAGACCACTTTATCACTGGAGGAAGCGTTATTATGGATTATGGAATCGTATTTTAGCAACGGCTTGAAGTTAGAAACATCTTGACAGATTTGTTTCTTATAAACACGCAGCTTTAGGTTTCACAAGAAGTTAACTGCTGGACTGCAGTAGTGTGGATTACTTGTGGATTATTGTGATGTATTTATCAGCTGTTTGGACTCTCATTCTGACGGCACCCATTCACTGCAGAGCATCCATTGCTGAGCAAGTGATGCAACGCTACATTTCTCCAAATCTGATGAAGAAACAAACTCCTTTACATCTTGGATGGCCTGAGGATGAGCACATTTTCAGCAAGTCTTAATTTTTGGGTGAACTATTCCTTTAAAGGGGTCATATGATGCAATTTCATTTTTTCCTTTCTCTTTGAAGTGTTACAAGCTCTTGGTGCATAAAGAAGATCTGTAAATTTGCAAAGACTAAAGTCTCAAATCCAAAGAGATATTCTTTATAAAAGTTAAGAGTACACAAAATAATGTTCTTTTTAGCAGCATCATATGACCCCTTTTAACACTCCATCCCAAACCCTTGAGTTTGATCAGATGAGCGTCACGTCGTCACTCAGCAATGAACACATCCAGCAGAATAATAGTGCAGGTTTATGAGCGGCACATGCATCAGCTGGAGGCGGATCACACGCGGCACCTGCAGCCTTCAGTGGACAGGTACAATCTTGTCTCCTAATTGAATCTTTGTTTATGCCACGTTGCTGCTGCTCAGGTGGATTCGTTTCGCCCTTCTCTATGGAAACAGACCAGTTGGTGTGCTTGCGGTACACACAGCATGTAGAGATGCTTCTTATTTTAAGTTTGTTCACTGAAGGAAAATTGACTGAATTAAATGTGAAATAGGCTTGTAGCTGTCTTTATAAACGTTGACGTGAATAACAAAATATTTACTGTCAAAGGGATATTTCACCCCAAAATTAAAATTCTTACTCACCCTCATGTCGTTTCAACCCCGTAAGATCACAAATGAAGATATTTGTGATGAAATCTGAGAGCTCTCTGACCCTGTATAGACCGCAACTTAGGGCTGCACGATTATGACAAAAATCATAATTGTCGATTATTCCCTTGAAATTGCGCTTATTAATTACGATTATCACAATTTACATTGAATGATGTTTATACCATTGTTTGAAGAAACTGCATGCCATATTTTTATATGAAAATAAACAAGCTGAAAACACTCAAAGAGAAAATCTTTTATTGCTTTTCTATAGCATTAAGGCTCAAATGTCAACTGTACATCGGATTGGTTTCTTCTTTAAATAATAAAAAAAGTTAAAATATGAATGGTATTATAATGTAATACCATTTAGTTTATGTAAAACTAAAATTTAAACAATAGAAAAACCCTTAAGATAACATGTAGAAAGAAAAAAACATCTTAAGCACTCAGAATAAGTGGACGATAAATAATAAATAATATTGAACGATAAATAAGTGGACTTTGAACGATTAATTGCCGCTTTGAACGATTACATAATTGTGGCATCTGTAATTGTAATCGCGATTAGAAATTCGATTAATTGTGCAGCCCTACCGCAACGCAACTGAAATGTTCCCAGGCCCAGAAACGTAGTAAGGACATCGATAAAACAGTCCATGTGGCATCAGGGGCTCAACTTCAATTTTGCGAAGCTACGAGAATACATTTTGTGTGCAAAGAAAACAAAAATAATTTATATAACAATTCTTCTCTCCCAGTTAACGTTCTTCCGCCAGATGCGTGCACTTCCTCCTGAATGTCAACAACACTGATTACGTTGATTACGTTCAGGGGAAAGCGCAAAAATTGAAGTTGAGCCACTGATGTCACGTGGACTGTTGTACCGATGTCCTTACGTTTCTGGTTCTGGGAACAGTTCAGTTGCGTTGCTGTCTATGGGGGGTCAGAGAGCTCTCGGATTTCATCAAAAATATCTTCATTTGTGTTCTGAAGATGAACGAAGGTCTTGCGGGTTTGGAACGACACGAGGGTAATTAATGACAGAACTATCACTTTAAACTTACTTTTTTGATACGTTATTTATTTATATATTTTCTCCTAAATCAAGTAAAAAAGGCCGGGTTTGGGCCTGTTGTTTTCATAATTGCTAAAGACTGTAGAGAGAACATCAATAGCAAAATAAAACCCAGGCAATTTTTTTAATTTTCCTGGCCAGGACACGTCTGGGAAAAAGGGCATGTATGGTTAGCCTACCCTACTTTTGATGGTCTAAAATGCTATTTTAAATGCTGTTTCCTACTATCTATATCAGTTTACTATGCAGATATAACTAAGTCATGCTTTGGTTGATCTAAAAACTGATTGTGAAACGAACTGAATGCTGGAACTAGGGATGGGCGTATCGATACAAAGTATCGATATATCGATACTGACGCGAGAATCGAAAGTATCGATACTCAAACAAAAATATCGATACTAAGGTGCATTTTATTTACCAGTGGTTTTGTTTATTTAACAACAATACTAATAATAATGCGTGGAACTGTCATAGAGCCTCTGAAAAAGGTGTTTTTGTTTTTAAACACTGGCTCAACCAATCGCGTGAGTCGTGGGCGGAGCTACATGAATGTCTGACCAATGGAAGATGGGGA